TGCAGGAAAGTGATCTTCAACCAGGGTGCCACAGCACCCTGGGGTGCCTTGAGATCCTTTCAAGAGTGCTGCGGGAGGCGTGCAAACATGTTTCACAAGATAAATCCAGCTTTTTCAAATGGAAGCCCATAGCTCTGAGGTTTCTGAGTTCTTTGCAACAGAAAAACTGCTGTAGTAGTTTTCACTACTTTTTTGACTACAGAAGAATAAGAGCTGGCATTCGCCAAGGGATGCCTCGAGTCTGTTCAGGTGTGCTGCTATTCAGGTACCAGCTGCTGCAAGACTGCAAGCTGAACCCTAGGTTTTGATACATGCCAAGCTGCCAATGCTTGGCATGTGCCAAAACCTAGGTTTCAGGTGTGCCTTGCTGCTCTCCCACCTTTCTCCAGACCTGGTTGACTCCAGCCTGGGGAAGGCATGGGGAGCAGGAGAGAGCAGGTATCTGCAGGCTGGGACACCTGGACAGTCCCTCTCTTGGGCAGATTTCGACTGCTGCTAATTTCCCAGAAACCAACAGTGACAAAAATGAACGCTTGGTTCACGGCCTCAGTCAAGTCACTTAGCCGCAAGATCATCCTTTCAGCTGGAAGGCAGTGCACGCAGCTGTCCTCGTTATCTTGTTATCCTTGTGCGGGCCGGGAGCGATCCGGGCCCTTTTTCGCGCCGCGCGGGCTGTGGCCAGCAGCCCGGGCACGCTGGGTCGGAGAAAACAGGCGACACGCTAGAATTAGGCACAGACGCGTAATGGTTGATTTAAGATTATTTACTTACACCGAAGATGGTCGCGGTGCAGGCAGGAAAACTTGTTTGAGTTGCGGTTACAGATAGAAAAGAAGAGAGGCGGACTAGAGTTCCTTCCCGTGAACATTCTTCTAGCCCAACCGGTTGGAGGCTCTAAACCGCGAGCCCGTCGCGCCAACCAAAGAAAGTACTCGAAGAGAGGCTAGAGGCTGATCAGACCCCTGTTGCCTTCTTGATATTCACGCTGGGTCCGATAGGCTCCGCAGCGCTTAGAGATCTTCACACAGCGTGAAGTCTCGTCCTCCTGGTGTTTGTGGAGTCCTCCAACTTGGGCGGAAACCACTCAAGCCTTTTATACGGCTAGCAAGCCAATCACTAGCCGCCACACGTGAATAATTTCACGCAAGCCAATAATGGGGCTCGAATTATAATACAAATGGTGGGAACTCTTTGCACCGTGCATTTCTGTGCTGCAAAGAAGAAATGCACCCTGCAAAGAAAGCTACAAATGGGCGGGAAAATAATTCAGTGGTGCCAAAGCACGCACAAAACAAAATCACACCTTTGGGTTGTGACAATCCTCTCCTCCAGATTGTGGGACCCGGTGTCCTCCTCGCCTGAAGGACTGCCTTTCAAAGTGGACTTTTCGAGGGGCTCAATACAAGCAGGGATTGTGTGCTAAGATTTGTACACTTCAGTATCTTTTTTTCAATCAATTTTTTCTTTTCTCCCTTT